TACATTGCTCGCTCCCCCCCCCCCCGTCGCTCTTGGTCGGTCTTATATATAAGGAACAGGATATTTCTAGAAAGGAGGTGGCGTGATACTAGTCACGTGACCTCGCTGACGCAACAATATGATCAAGCAGTAGGCCTAGAATATGATAGATCTAAGCTACCAAACTAGAATGAAAATATCTATCTCTTTCAATTTTTCATTCTCAAAGACATCATTAATTAGAGCGTATAGAATACAAGTCATCCAAGTAAAAAATCTGAAATTTGTGAATTAACTACAGAAAATGATATGGAGTTAGAGAAAAAATACTGGCACCAAGATATAGAGCATGTTATCACAGTTATAAAGTTTCTATAATCCAGTGGGTGAGCATTCAGAGGAAGTAATGAAGTAGTTAGTTCAGTGCATAATCCCAATCACTTAGGAATACTGAAGCTATAAGCTGAGTATAATGCATTTCTTGCTGAACACGTTCAAAAATACACAAATAAGAGAAAATGTCACGTTTTATACTTATCCTAAACTGTTTGTGATGAATTCATAAAAATCCTGCACAATTAAGTTCTCACCCCTATTATCCAGGTATCAAAACATTCAAGTATTACTTAGTGTTTGTTGATTTTACTCCAGAGATATCCCACATGGATCAACTGACAGTAGTTGTTAGATACATTCTAGATGATGGCCCTGTAGAGAGATTTACCAATTCTTACTGATAAGCAATCATATAGGTGTAGAACTTGCTAGAGTTCTAATTAATTTGCATGAAAAGATTGAAACAAGATTCATTATTGCTGTGGGAAGTCTTATGAAAATGCACCCAGTATGAGTGGTATATACGTTGGCATGCAAGAGAAGAAGAGAATAACCCCCGAATAGACCATGTTTCCTGCTGTGCTCATTCGCCCAGTTCAGTTACACAATGTATTGTGGATTGCTGCACTGAAGCTTGTTTATCCTTTGCCTTTGTGCAAAAGCTTTATGTGTTCTTCTCAGCTTCAACTCGCCTGTTTGAAAAACTACGGTTCCCGACGAAAGGATGTTATCAGATACAAAATGGAGTACCTATTCAGACACAATGTGAGCCTTAAAAATGGGGTACAAACCGTAACACAAGTCTTCGCTTCCATTACAGATGGTATCTTTGAAAAGACTTGGGTGTGCTTAGAGTCAAGAAACCTTACGCTACAATTGGAACAACTAGAACAGGTATAATGATAGAATTATGGAGTGTTTGTTTGTTTGTTTTTGAATTTCGCGCAAAGATACACGAGGGCTATCTGCGCTAGCCGTCCCTAAGTTAGCAGCATAAGACTAGAGGGAAGGCAGCTAGTCATCACCACCCACCGCCAACTTTTGGGCTACTCTTTTACCAAAGAATAGTGAGATTGACTGTCACATTATAACGCCCCACGGCTGAAAGGATGAGCATGTTTGGTGTGACGTGGATTCGAACCCGCGACCCGCAGATTGCAAATTGAGCACCCTAATCACCTGGCTATGCTGGGCCTATGGAGTGTTCATTACAAAACTCCCAAATATATGTAAGTAAGATATTTGTGCAGGAATTACAAGAATCATTTTCTGAATATGAGGAAAAGGATAAATAACTGTCAGGATGCAAGACATATAAGGTCGAAATATCAAGGTAAATAAAGAGAAATATACGATGGGATGAATGGTATGCTGAGGATAGTGATGTTTCACCATCTACTAAATATAAAGTTCAGAATTTCCTAACAATAACTGACTCACTTGCACTAAACAACAGAATAGTAGAATATGAAAACGTCAGTTGCAAATTTGGGTTTCTATGAAATGTAGAGTCCATGCCTACAGAGGACCTCCAAAATGCCATCACAAAGCTGATTAGTACATATACTATGGACTTGGAGAGTTGGACAAAAGAAGAAATTATTCAACTTGCCACCCTCTGCAAGGCAAGGTTTGTTGAAAAGCCATCAGAATCCAAGGAACAAAGTATGCTGAGAATGGTATGCAGCCAATCTTTGAAATCAATCTTCCTAAACATCCTGATAATCTTAAGAATGCACATTGCCTCATGTCAGGCAATTGCTTGGGGAAAAGACCACTCTCAACACTAAAAAGATAAACAACATAGTTTGATCAACAATATGCAAGGCAGGCTAAATGTACTGACAATTTGGTGCATAGAAAATGACTTGTTAGAATCGCTTGACATTAAACAGATCATAAATGCCTTTGCTGCAAAAAGAGCCAGGAAGACAGTAGTTTAACCAAGTACAGACAACATGATCTGCTACTTCACATGGGTATATTATGTCAGTACCAATGTGATATAAGCATGTGTATGTGTTGTGCATTTATTTATGTGTTTGCAAGTGAACGCATGAATTGTTGAGTTTATGTGTATGTGGTTGATTTCTGTCTATATGATTTGTTGTCCAAATGCAAAATTTGTTTTTGTTCGAACACCTCTTTTCCTATTCAATAAACATCTAATATTGTTCATTAATTTGTAGATGAGTCCTCAAATCTGTGGTTATTATTTTCCCATTGTCTCCATAAGTAAAACATATCATGAGGTTTATATTTTTCACCTTGTCTTTAGTCGCGCTTTTAATAGTCCCAGTAGAACCTGTCTGACCCTTAATCCACCACTAACAACAAGTATTCTTGAGAAATATTCTCCATGGGTAGTAACAGGTATTATCTACTACCAATAACAATGTAGCTTAGAATGAAATCAACTTAATGACTTTCTTTACCACGTATAATGTGAAACCTGCACATACACAAAACAAAGAATGAATTAATAAAAAAAAACACTATAAAGTTAAAAGAAGATACAAATGCATGTTATATTCAAATACCACAACATTATAATGCTCCCACAGCTGAAATGGCAATAATTGTCATTGAATAGTTTTGATCCTGTGACCTACAGATTGTTAATCGAGCACATTAAGCACCACACAAAGGATGGAAGCATATGTTTTAATGTTAAAACATGAGCTTATAATTTATTATTATTGTACATTATTAGCAATATTTCAAAAAGAATACAATTTGATGCTAACTTCCATTTTATAAAAGTACATTAATTTTTCTTACTGACTGTTATGGCTGGGAATGATTTATTCTCTTGAAGTTAGGGTGATTTGTTGATTGTAAAATAAATAAGACAAAAATGGTCTAGCAACTTTTACTTTCCAAGTAATTAAGCATAATTTCCCTATAGGAGATATTCTTGGTATATCAGATCTGTACGATTATCACAGTTATGACGAATGGTATTAGTGAATACAGTGCCTAGTATGATTTGTATGACTGATAATGATAGCTAGAAGTTTAAAACTCTGTTGAAAGGGCATTTACCCTTACTTTCTGAGTGATCATATGATATTTCATGGTGTAACATAAGCACTACATTGATGTGATTGTCACTTGATCATTTTTAGAAGCTAGGAAAATCATGTAGTTGAAAAAATCAATGATTGAAAGGAAATTGGAACTTTTGCTTCCTCAGCTACTGAGAAAATTTTCGGAAGTGAAATCTCATATGATATTTTGAAAGATATACCTGGTCTAGCTAAGTAGCAATAACTCTCTGGAGTACACCACCTAATCTTTGTCAGATTCCCCTCCATATACTTGGAGAATGCATGACATTTTCACATGCAGAGAGTTATTTGCTTTGAGTGTATATTGATGTACTTTTGTAACAGCATAAATACTGATTCTAGCTGATGAGAATTTTTGATGAAAAGTTTTAGTTTGGTTAAATTCTGCCAGTGATTATTTATTTTCTGACTAACCTGAGTAACCGTCCCCTGGACGGAAGTTATGTAAATTTGTGATTAATGAAAGGTTATCTTAGGACATGAAAACTTGCTTCTCAATTGTGAAAAACGCACAAACGCCCATAAAAACTGCAAAACACAATATGTGAAACCGCAAGTTCACATGTATCTCCACATTGACCTAATAAACCTTCATGCCAAATTTGGTGAATATCCATCAAAAGGGGGTGAAATAGTGGTTAAAAAGCCCATAAACCTGCAAAAC